TATGAATCCGTTTTTTTTTTTTATATTTATTAAAACATGGATTCTGAGAATCCGTGTTTCTCTGATTTATTTATAACACGGATTCTGAGAATCCGTGTTTTATTAAAAAAAATGATAGAGGCTCCCAGATTGGGGACTCGAACCAGGTCAATGGGAAAGTCCGATTTCTCTGGGTGCGCCTCGTACCATTGTGCCGACAGACACTTTCCGATTATTTTTGTACAAATTATATACATATACATATAAATATACTAAATATTATAGAATAAATTGTAATTTAAATAGTCTACTTAATTTATATTATATACTATATGTTATATTATATTATCTACTATATGTTATATCATAGTATAGAACATATTATATTATGTAGTATATCATAGTATATATATAACATATATTATAATATATGTAATAATATAACATCTATGTTAACATATAATATAACATCTACGAATTTGACTTTTTTTTTTTCAAACGTCAAACAAATATATTACTAGAAAACTGAAAAAGAGTACAGAGGCGATGTCAACTGACACCAAAGAACCAGATAATTGGACCTACCCTCTTGAAATTTCGGAGAAATTCAAGAGGTACAACTCCAACAAGGAGGCAACCGCAAACCCAAAATGAAATTCCACAAAGGGAAACAAAACTCCATAAAGGAGATAAACCAGACAAGTTGGACTAACACACAAAAAACATAAAGAAAAAAACACACACCTAATGAACAAATAAACTAGAACCTCCCCTACACCTAACAAACTCGATGCCTAACCACCCGGGACCGCACACGATCCACATCCACTAGCAAAGAGATCCAACAAAACCACAAACCGTAACCTCAAGCCCGAAAACTGCGGCTACTCGTGCCGCCTAGACAGATCTGAAGAAGAGACTGCTCTCGGTTCTGATCTTGACTCCGAAAAACCATCCATGCTTGGGGGAGGAGAGGAAGCCGCCGTGAGGGCACCAATACGCCTCGTCGGAGTGCTCGAAAGAAGGATCTAACGGACGGCAAGCCGCACCAAAGGACCCAAAACATAACAATAAAACTCTCGGCGGAAACATGGTCGGTACCTCCTCGAGGCTTGGGCCTGAACTCTTGCTGCCGGCGGTCTCCTCCATGGCCGGGGATAACTAGGTGGCGAAGCAACTCGGACCCAACGGGGGAGAGAGCTCTCCAACCTAATGTCCCACAAAGCCCGGAGGAGACGGGAATGTCCTCAGCCCCGAGTCGACGAGCTCCTATTCCAGCGGCGTGGCGGCGATCTTGAAGGTGTAGAAGGGGCGGCGACAATTGGAGAGGACGAGCGAGGGTTTAGAGGAGAGGAATTGGGGAAAATTTAGAGAGAGAAAAAAGACTTTTTGAAAATTGACGATTACGTATGCAATTTTTTCGACAATTTGACTTCACTTGTACGAATTCGACCTCGATTGTACTACTTCGACTTCAATTTGACTAATTCGACTTCAATTAAACTAATTCGACTTCGATTGTACTATAATTGACTTCAATTTGACTAATTCGACTTCAATTGAACTAATTCGAGTTCGATTGTATGAATTTGACTTCGATTGTATGAATTTGACTTCAATTGTACGAATTTGACTTCGATTGTACTAATTCGACTTCGATTGAACTAATTCGACTTCAATTGTACTAATTTGACTTCAATTTGATTAATTTGACTTCAATTGGACTAATTCGACTTCGATT